GACGGCCCACCTGATGGAAAATGGTAACCGTCGCCTATAGACATGAGCAGTACTATGGACATAACAGAGTATACTGTTTCGCCCATGATACCCCCCATGCGTTGCCATTCCTGAGGACTCAGGTGTTATTCCTCTGTACCCTGTAAATTCACGCCATATCCCACCCTTCAAACCGAAACACAGCCATGCAAACACAACTGCTTCACGGTAGAAACACGAATGGGACAGAGGTACCCAAGCAATCGACTTTTGCTATTAATATTGTGTAAATATTTTTTATTTATACTGTTTGTACTGCATTTAAATTTATCTTTAGTCCTTTATAGCCTTATTATTTTTCTGTTACGCCTTGACCAGACACAATTTTAATTATTCCTCTCCATCCTAAGGTTTCCTGGAAGAGATCGCTGTTTAGCGATAAGGCCGCTCATTGTTGCCTCTTTAGCTTGCTTTTATACAATTAAGTTTATGTAATTAATTATTAATTTAATTTGCGTGCATTTTGTTAATCTTTATAATCTGTATCATTCATTAAAGGGAACAATAAAGAGGTTTCATTCATTCATAAATTGTACTTACTTACTCATAGTAGTTTTTTTTTTTTTTTCAAGTAAATAGTTACATAGACAATATTCTTAGTGCTGTGAAACTGCTTTGCAGTTTGTCTGCATCTTTGCACTCTTGTACATACAGCTTTATAAACAATTATGAACTTATATACTAATTCTATATACTAAATCTATATCTTTATACATACATACATATATGTACTAATGTGTACTTTTTTTTATGGGTGAAAATGGTATGGTAACCCCGCCTGCGCTAACGGGATACACTGGCCGAGCACCAATGAAGGGTGATAGATGAGAATGAAAACAGGCCAGTTAGCCCATCATGATGAATGCATCAGGAATTAACCATGATAGTTTCCAGGGAGAACCACGAAGAGGTCGACCTGGTTGGATATATTGCTAGCAATGGGATTCTCAGTCTCCACTACTAACAAGCTCTTTCCCCCCCTAATATGTACTCATACCAGTATTAACATTTGCCATTCGCTTGCTTGTATTTTAGGTAGTATGTGCTGTCCTCAATCATCACTATTTTTTTTTATACAACTTAGAATGGCAAACAAGCTGACGGCCCACCTGATGGAAAGTGGTAACCGTCATCTATAGACATGAGCAGTGGCATGGACACAACAGAGTATACTGTTTCGCCCATGATACTCCCCATGCGTTGCCATTCCTGAGGACTTAGGTGTTATTCCTCTGTACCCAGTAAATTCACGCCATATCCCACCCTTCAAACCGAAACACAGCTGCTTCACGGTTGAAACACGAATGGGACAGAGGTACCCAAACAATCGACTTTTGTACAAAGTCTCCCTCTGTTATACTATACATTATGGACAACATTTACCATCCAAATTGAATCAAATATTGATCCATAAACTTTTTTTTTTACTTTTCTTTTAAAATATTTTACTGTGACATTATTTAATAATCGTATGTTCCTCGATAATACAATACAGTATTTTGGAAGTCAAGTACTTAATCATAATATCTACTTTTATATCACTTTTCATTAAAATTCATCGTATTTATTATTTTTATAAATGATGCAATAAAGTGTAAATAAATAAACTTTATCGGATACACGACCGCCGTGAATATTTTATTTATGACTCTATTTATGACAGAGTCAACTATGTCGCTCTGTCAATAAAACCTTAAATTGTGTATAAAATTATGATATTAGTTCATTGAGAGATCGTAAATTAAAAAAAAAAAAGTTTTAACCTATATATTTTTTAATTCAGACTCAAATAATCTTTAATCAAATAGATTTAGCTATAAGCAGTTCTAAATCGTATTTTTTTTTAATGAACTGCTGGTGATAGGTAGTAAAAGGCGATAATGGAATGGTGACCTTATCTGCGCTATTGGTATAGGTTGCGAAGGCACCGGTAAGGGATGATAGGTAGGAGGAAGCAGATCAGTTAGCCCATCGTGACGAATTCACTATGAATTAACAAAGATGGTTTCCAGGGGAACCGCGGAGAGGTCGACCCGACAGGATTTATTGCTAAAAATGAGGTTACTGGTGCAAGAAATTAGCAACGGGTCCACTTATCCCCATTGTTAATAATCCTGTCCCCCAGGGCTTTTACTTCCCATTACTCAAAATCTTTAACCATATAAATCAAGATTCTATACCATTTCTGTATGGAAAACCATTCATTGCATCGTTAAAGCCAATTATTTCGATTTAAAAACTAAACCGATTTTGATAAAATATCTTTGGGACCAATCTGTAAGTATATGTATATGGGTTCCCTTAAAATAAAAAAGAAATTTAATGTGTTAAAGTAAATGCTGTGAATACCTATAATAGGCATGTGCATTAATATTGTATCGTATTTAATGTTTGTTATACCTATATGTTATAATGCATGCAATATACATTGCATGCATTATAAGCTAAATCCTTGTAATATGGATAAAACCATATTACGCCGACCCCAAATAATAATTGGGATAACGGTAGGAAGATGATGATGATGATGATGATACATATATATATAATAAATAAGTCAGTTGAAGATGCGCACACTATATCAACTAGTACTGGCATAGAGATGTTATGATGACTTGATTTGTTGAGTATCATTATAAATACTCGTATTATACAAATAATATAAAGGTGTATAATAATTGTTCATACATTGATAATAATTATCATGTTAGGATAATTTATGATATTTTTTCTTTACTGAGAACTTTATATCTACATTATTTTTAGAGTTCCGCAGCAACGCAAAAAGAAAACCATTTCAAATTTTTAAATAGAAATTCGTTATTTCTGAGAGGAATTTATGATATCATTAAAATCGGTTACGTGGGATTTTAGTACATATTTTGAGTATGTCAATGAGATGCACAAACAGATAGTGAAACCCAAATACACAAAGTTATGGTTCTTATATATTTATTATTATTATTTATTCTTTATTGTACACAAAAAATTACAAATTTACTTACTTGCCAACTTGATTAGACCCAAGATCTACTGTTCACTGGCGAAAACCTAAACGATCTACCAATTACATACTTCTTGAAATCACAAATGAAACAACATAGTACAGTACGCAATTATGTAGTATTGTAGTATTTTTTATATTATTAAAAGGGAAAACATAAAACTGAGTTATTCTTAGTAACTTCTTATTTATACTAGTATGAGCATTGCGTCTGAGCATCTTCCGCTAGATTAGCAAAATATTATATTTTTTGCCTTGCCACGACCGACTGGACTAATAGTCGCGATCGACCGGTTAGCCACCACTGATCCATATAAATATCCTTAGTAATATTACAATTATGAAAGTTTGTTTATTTGTTATACCTTAACATTTGCTAAACACGAAGGTACTAATTAGGATGGAGAAAGTAGGTATGCCCTTTTCCCATACTATTGTTTATCCCCGTCAATCGTCATACGGCGTACACGCGGACGAAGCCGCGGATAAAAGCTAGTAAATACTAATGATCCTATATAAATATTTAAAAGTCCAATAAACCCTTATTTAATAACTTTCGAAGTATTGGTCAAGCCTATTGTTTTGTGAAAGTTACGCCATCTACTGGACTGTCGAGACATTGGAATAATAGAAATTTGCATTTGTACATACCGAAGTTAATTTGGCGGGTACCTACTACCTGCAGATCTTTAATAATTGAATGAATAGGTTTTTAGTCTAAATAGACCTAGTTACCTATTTTAATATCTAAAAATACCGTGTCACGATGTTAGTTCATGCCAATCTCTAAAAGCGTTCAACCAATTTTAATATTTGTTTATTTGTAATTTTTTGCTCGCTTTACCTATTGACGTAACACTATATTATCAAGAGGCAAAAAATTATCAGTAATGGGGTCTAACTGGGGCTGTATTGCTAGCAATACAGTCTATCAAGTCAACCGCCACGCGGTTCCCTCTGGAAACCATCCTGATTAACTCTTGTGTAATTCGTCACAGTGAGCCAATTGATTTCCTTTCGTTCTCACTTATCAGTCTTCACTGGTGCCCTGCCAACGTATACCAATGGCACAGACCATGGCTTACTATGATGATGGGGCCAATTATGATGTGTCATTTTTTTAAACTTATCTTTTAATCTAATATTTTAATTTCATAATCGTTCTCGGATTTATTTATATAGACCATAATAGACTAAAATTATAATATTTTGAGTTAAATTTATTAAAAAAGTATTTATTAGTTCATATTGGTCCTTACAATAAAGATCTCGCTGTGATATTAAATTGAAGCTTTAAATTTTAGAGAAATGGTTGCTCAGAATTGACCCCAGTGATAACTAGCCCTGTTTTGTTGCTTTGTCTGCGTGAATTAGGATTATCAATATTAATCAATATATAGTGGACCCATGTAACAAGTTTCATTCAAATCCGTTGAACCGTTTAAGCGTCATTGAGTCGCAACGCCAACATTAACAATATTTACTAACCCTCATATTTATAAAAGTAGATACCTATTATAAAGCTACCATTGCTGTTCTTTTATACTACGATAAATGTAAGAATAAATAGGTAACTGACATAAACAAGCAGTGACTCAACTAATACGCAACGAAAGTCCAGCAACAAAAGTTATCAAAAGATCTTTACTTGACCCCCATGTACTCTTGTAGCAACTTTGATGTACCGTTGTATCGTCCGCGTAATTAATACTCGCCCACTCAAATTGCCAGGGTCCGGACTCGAACCAGTTCTCTGGCTCGTTGTTTACCCCGACTGCACACAGCACATCTACAATGCAAATCCTGTATCCACAATCAACGATCGAGCAAAACGGACGCGTTACAACGCGGCACCTCCGTACCAGCAAACGAAAACGAATCGGGCTATCGATTTAACTCCACACGAGGGTCGTAGAAAGAATTCCTTACAACAATGAGCCGGTGTAACAATAAATACCTTAATGATATCCCGAGATCGGAGAGGCGACCGGCGGAGGCACCCAAACCCGTCTCGCTTCAACACAAATCCACTATAACATGTAGTAGCAACATCACAAAATGAAAATGGCACAATCTCACACGTACACTGTAGGAATCCACAACACTGGTTTTGGTTTGGGTACAAAAGATGGTTATTTCGTAAAACAACGCGGCGCAGATTCAGTGTAACACGACAAGCGACGCGGACGGCGGCCCGGCACAAACTGAACTGGTTTTGCTCGAGGGCGCGGGGCGGGGAGGAGACGGGTGCTGCGTTTAGTTCGAGTCGGTTTTATGAAAATATTTTGTGAGTAATGCACGTGTTTTGAGTGCATCAACCTAGAGAGAATCTATGATTGAACTGCAATGTATGGTGTGATAGATTAAGTTAATAAAGTAACAAGAAAGGTATCGCAGCGGTCACATTTGTAGGACAAGATGTGGGGTCTTTGTCTGCAGGCGTTACAATCAAGGAGAGCTTACTTGCATTGCATTTCTGAAGTTTTTACAAATAGTTACAAGTGCGTAGTACTATTTCTTATACTGTAATACTATTCTACCCAATATTCTTTGTAGTTTAAATTATTTAGACATTTAATATCTACCTATTAGAATAAATAATTATTACCTTTAGGTATTTAATAAGCGTTTAATTTCACGTATTTATGAAATACCTAGGATTGGTCTAGATATTCAACTAAATATCTATTAAACAATATTTAGACAACGTAACTTGTAATTAAAAGTCTACCAATAAGTAATATTAAATTTTCTACGGATTGTCTCTGTAAATATAATTAAGTACTTACTAACCTATCATTAGCGGCTAGGAAGGATAGAGGGACCGACTGTGGACTATGTGAGTGGAATATTTAAAAGGCAAATTTTAGTGCTTTTCCTTAGGCAGATATTTATTTAAATTCAGTTGAAACTACACTTTTTTATAGCTAAACGTAACGAAAAAAGACTAACAGTTTTCTTTCGTTGCTTTCTTTTATCACAATTTTGATTTTACTAAAATCGTTAGATAGAAGTAAAGATTGTAATATAAATTATAATATTACATTAATAAATTTGTAAGTTGAAAAAATCATAATAAGCGGTAGTAGTTTAAATATATAAAATGTACGGAACCCCCTCACGATTCCGAATCAATCTTCACGCATTTCTTATTTGATTTGATAACAGATAACAAAGATACATTAATATTTTCTTTAAATAAAATGAATAATTTAAAAATACAAGGAATTCTGTAATCACTGATTAAAAATAATAAACCTATTTTTGCGATGGTTTCCAGGGGGAACTGTATAGAGGTGAGACCTGATATTTCTGTCTAATCTCCTTTATTGACAATCCCTTCTCCACCCAATAACTTGAGTTTGTAACGATGAAAGAAGATCTGTTGGCCTAACTATACAACTTAACAATTAAAATATATATATATATATATATATATATATATATATATATATATATATATATCTCGAGTCAGCGAAACAGTATACTCTGTTATGTCCATGGTACTGCTTATGTCTATAGGCGACGGTTACCACTTTCCATCAGGTGGGTCGTCAGCTTGTTTGCCATTCTAAGTTGTATATAAAAAAGATGATTTTTGTACATACATAGTTTCTCTCTAGTACCTAGTTCCAGTAGTTGCTACGCTTGGCTGGCGGATTGATAACCGAATTAGACTTTAGACATGTTTTAAGAGGGACGCTGCTGCCCATCCCTCGCCCTTCCTTAGTCGCCTCTTACGACACCAACAGGAAAAGAAGGGGTGACCTACTCTATGCTGGGACCACATGGCTAATACTATCTGATAACCATGTTAAAAATATCTATATCTATAGACGAGGGTTACTACTTTCCATCAGGTGGACTGTCAGTTTGTTTATTATTTCATGTTCGTTACAAAAAAAATATCGATTTATTGTTTTTTTTTTTACTATGCACTAATGAAATTATTGAATCAAAAGATTATTTTATATCATTAAGCTTATCTACGTTTCAAAGAACCTTAATAGAATTAGTCTACCAACACCGATAGACATGATTAGATGGAACTTAAATCTGATAAGAATATAGGTGAAGTCAGATTAGGAAAGCTAGTTAGTTTTTGGAAAGTTTGAGTCTAACAACGTTAGGTTTCACGCAATATAAGTTTTATCAGATTTGTCAACAAACAAAACTGAATGCCTGCCTGTACAGAATTATAGACAAAGAAAGAAAAAAAATTGTTCAAGTAAACTTAAATACGAGTATTTCTGAATCTTTGTCAATTTCTATGATTCTATTGTCCATTCGGAATGTATTTTCGGCTAAGAAAAACATGCAAGAGACTCGGCTATTGTTTCTTTCAATAATTTGATTAATTAATTGTCATAAATTAAAGTTGTCAGTATGCTACGTGATACATCTTTTTATTACTAAATATTAGTGAAAATGGCTAAAATAAATAATTTAAATGCCATCCTCATTGTCATATCAGCCGTTAAATGCCCACTGTTGAACATAGGCCTTCCCCATAATGAGAGATTTTGCCAGTAGATGCCATGCTTGGCGGACAGGTTAGCAACTACAGTTAGGCTTTGGTAACGTTTTACGAGAGACGCTGCTGCCCATTCCTCGACCATTATGTTCCCTTAGTCGCCTCTTATGACACCCACAGGAAATGAAGGGCAGCCCATTCTATGCCGGGCCTACATGGCAATTTAAATACATATAATGATAAGTGATTAATAAATTGCAATATAAAATGTTGTATGTCTACTATACCACATTTTTTTTTTTGAAAAATATGATGCAATAGGCATATCGTATCTTATATTAATCAATAAAGTGTACATACTTTTAATTCTATTTAATACTATAACTGTGAACATTCATATTGTCTATATGTCTGTTACTCAATTACGCTTAAACGTCTGAATGTAGTTTTAGTAAAAAATATCTATTCAAAAGTACTTACAAATTTTCGCATTTATATATGTAGTAAGTAGTAGAAACCAATGAAACTATTATTTATTTATTTATTTCTTATTGCATTACATAATATAATTAGTAGATAACATTCCAATTATGGACCTCGTTGGGCACAGCAAGTAGGAGAGAGGAGGACAAAACTTTTTTCACTTTAGAAATAGTCTAAGGACCTGTTACAATATTATCCAGTCATTGAAATTGTATCGCGATAGTTACGTATTTTCTTACTGTTATTATTATTCATTATTTAAGTATTGGTGTGTATCTATTCATATCGTAATTGTTATTAGTATTATATAGTTATTTAATATATTCTGTAGTTTATAATTATTTACATTCATATTGTAAAATTAATTAATAAATAGTTTAATATTAAAACAGAAAGAATTGATTTTAAGATAAATTGTTAGCATATTGGTTAAAAAAAATCTCTAGGTAACATAGAAAAGAAGATTGTACCTAGGTTAGAAATAATTTTTACAACTATTTTACAATTGCCAGTTTTTTTTTATGGGTGAAAATGGTATGGTATCATATCCCCGCCTACGCTAACGGGATACGCTGGCAAAACACCAGTGAAGGGTGATAGATGAGAATGAAAACAAGCCAGTTAGCCCATCATAATGAATTCATCAGGAATCAACCATGATAGTTTCCAGGGGAAACCGCGAGGAGGTCGACCTGGTTGGGTATATTGCTAGCAATGGGATTCTCAGTCTCCATTACTAACAATCCCTTTCCCCCACAATTGCCAGTTAGGTCAGGTTAGGTCGTTGCTCATTGTCACCATCTCAGCCATTATCTGTCCACTGCTGAACATAAGCCTCCTTCATAGACTGTCATCATCGTCATGGATGGTTAAACGTTCTTATTTAAACTAATATTATAAATGTGAAAGTGAGTTTGTTTGTTACCTTATAGCGCCTTAACGGCTTAACCAATCACTATGAAATTTGGTATTCACGTACTATATGGGATAGAAAAGGTGTTTAAGGTAAAACACCGCAGTGGAAGCGTTTAATAGGGAAAGATTCTCTGTCTGTCGAAGAGGACTAACCTGGCATCGGCTTCGTGAATTTTTCTGCTGTAGGTGATCGGCAGTTTTTCCTCAACTTCTATATGCACGCACATACAAGTTCTTACAGGTTCTTCAGGGCACATACAGTTTACAAAACACAAATCATATTTATTTTTCAGGAGCAAGCGTCTGAGCACACGCCTCCATTCGGTCAGTACTTTTTTTTTTATTCGTTAAAGTAAAGTGGGAGAAAAATAATAATGACGGACTCCAATATTGTAAACAATCTGTGTTTTATTACAAAAGGCTTTATTTTGAACAAAAGGCAATAGGCAATATAATATTTATTTTTTACCTTAATCAGTAAATATATCCCGGTCACACGAACGAAGTCGCGGGTAAAAGCTAGTAATATCATTAACAAGAAAGATTAGATTTTTTTTGTTTGCAATGTATAAATTAAAAAAATACTTAATAGATTTTAAAAACTTTTACCGTAACATACCAGTAACATCGAGTAATACGGGTTCCATTTTATTTAACTATTTATTGAAAAACCGTGCGAAACCGGGATGATTTGATAGTATGTAATTAAATACAGGTAAATACATATTTGGATCTAGTAAAACAATTATATGTTCATACAAGCGTACGTGGTGTTTTATATTCAAGTCCATTAACCATCGTCAACACGCATCTGATATCAGAGTTGCCACATACCATTTTTTATTTTTATCCAAATGTCAAATATTTTTTCTCCAAATTAATACGATTATCTTCACTTTTACCCAATTACAAAATTGTGCTGATTTTCAATCGATTTAAAAAACAAGGAAGTTCTTAATTGGGTTGCATGGTACGTTTATTACTTTATATGTTCGTTAGTTTTAAACCGATTTGGATAATTTCTTTTTATCTGAAAGGATAGGTACAGTTATAGATTGATTTCATAGAAATTTTATCAAAATTGGTTCACTAGTATAGTTTTTAAATTAAAATAGCTAGTCTTGTCCCGTTTTGCTACGTAACGGCAAAATGAACGACGAGAATTAAACACTTTTCTCTATATTTAACTTCTCTTACCTGCTATTTTACTATCTTCATTGGCACATTTTCATTCTCCTCGTCATCTTCCTGCCGTTATCCCAATTAATATCGCTGTAATATTTGTGTTTTTATTCATATTGCCCAAGATTTTGGCTTTTGGTTTTACGACCTGTTGCTTGCCTGACA